ATATATGTGTGTGTGTGTGTATGTGTATGTTTGTGAGTGTTTTGTGTGTTTGTGTGGGTTTATGTGTTTATTATTCTTTTGTGCATAATGAAAAGGCTTTTCGAACGAATTCATACGAATCAAATTGTATGCAGTCCTTGAAGACAGCGCTTGTCCACTGCGGTCCTCCATCTTGTAATATGATTGTTAGGGCTTTTATTCTTTTTACTATGAGGCTTTGGGCCATACCCGCAATTTGCTTGGCTGTGTGTAAATTTATATGCTGATTGGTGTCACCTACCTTTTCTACACAGTAACGCGTTCGGTGGTGGAGTGATCCTATGTGTGGGAATTTTGCACATGCTGAGCGATGCTAACGAATCTCTATCTGCGTACTACGAGTACCCGTGGGCGTACTTTATGGCTCTGGTAGGATACTCGATGGTGTTCTTTATCGAAGATGTTATGCTAAACAAGCTTTTAAATCGCTTCCACGACGTATACGAGATTAACAACATGGGTGCAATCGCTCACCAACACGGTCACACTTTCATCGGCCACTCAGCAGATGAAGTCGGCCACAAGCTCGGCAATGCGGGCCTATCTCATGCGCGGTGGGGTACGATCGCCGAAGAATCCAAAAACAATCGCCACAGCACCGTGGAGTTGGACAGCAACGATGGCAATGTAAAATCAACTACGAGCTGCGCTGCTATGCAAACGGAGAACGAGTCCGTACCTCTGCTACAGGACAAGTGCACTCAAACTTCGGCCACCTTGCTGGCCTTCTGTCTGCTGGTAGCGATCAGTTTTCACTCATTTTTTGCGGGGCTGAGCATCGGCGTAATGACAGAAACGTCAGACGTTGTGGCCACCTTGATCGCTGTGATTGCCCACAAAGGCGTGGCCGCGTTTGTACTCGGACAGTCCTTCCTTCGGTCGACTCTTAGCAAGCTTTTAGTGATTTGCCTGCTGATTTTGTTTGCGGCCATGACACCCGTGGGGGTAGGTATTGGATGGTGGATCTCCAGCATGAGTGACGAAACGGAGAAGCTGTCCGGGTTTGTAGTGAGTCTAAGTGCTGGTACTTTCATTTACATCGGGAGTCTTGTGGTTAACGACACTCCAGATCGCCTGACTCCCAATTCTGATAAAAAGGCCGGTTTGTGGAGGCGGTACGCGTTGTGGTGGTTTGGCGTTATTCTGATGGCCGTTGCCGCGATATGGGCGTAAGTGCGCAGGCTTTGAATTTACTCACGAACACGGAGATGTGACTTGCATCGATACTGTAAGTGTGCCATGCACACTATGAGTGACTGCTGTACGTCAGCAGGCTTGTGGATATGCCATACAGACAGGCGGTTATTTATAGTCTAGAATTCCTGCGTATCTGAATTACTGGATATTCCACTGCCGTGTGGCCTGTTGCGTAACTGGGCGAAAAGACTGCGATGTTTGCAATTTGCGAACAGTTATGGGCGAAAAGACTGCGATGTTTGCAATTTGCGAACAGTTACTTCGTCTATGAGCAGCAAGCGACACAAAAAAAAATGTTCTAAGAAAACGTAGCCCTCTCAACTCTCGACTCGAATATGAAGAAAACGATAAGAAAACGGATATATTTATAATTATTTTTATAACAGTCTTACACATTCAAGAACTCGTTTCATCGACTGAGTGGGTTATGAAAAAAACAAATAAAAAGTTTATATTTATACGTACAATTGAAGCCTGAGGGGTCGTTCGTTTTGTACTGAGAGATTGATCCTGACAGTGGCATATACGGTAGCTCAACAAGCTCCTCTACTTTTGCTTCGCTTTCCTTTGATTTATACAAATTTTCTCGTCATCATTATCTCAAACTTTCCCGTTTTGAGTTTGCTACATATTTTCCCGTTATCGTCATTATTCTGGAGGAAAAAAAGAGTGGCGGTCACGACAATTTAGCGCATTAGCGCTCACTTTATTTTCATATCATGTTTAAGCACTAGCCACATTCTCGTCGACATTAGAGTTAGATAGCTCGATATCCCCTTTCTTCGCAGGGATTGTCTGTGCTGGTACTGCAGCTACACTCTCAGAATCATCCACAACCACTTTTTCCATCATTATTTGCTTCTCGTTATTTGTATGTACCATAGCAGTCGTAGTACTTTCACAGTCATCCTCATTCGTAACTACTTGTCCCTCCTGGTTCCCACATGTATGCTCTAAATCATTCTCAACGCTATTCTCAAAGTCTGTTCTATCAACCTCGACTATCTTCGATATCTCATTAGTTGCTTGTCCTGAAGCACCAGTGCTATTGGATGCGCCGCCGACCCTCTCAGTCTTACTATGCTGCGCTGTGGCCTTCCCTTTTTTATCAAAGTTACCAGCTCGCTGTTTGCGCTCGGGGATGGTCTGCACAAACGCCTGCTTCCAATCGTTGAATTGCTTGTACCTGGTGAGGATCTCGAATACTATGTGACATACAAAACGGGATAGATGACGCAAGAAAATTAGTATTGAATGTGTATTTCAATTCATCTGCTATAACAATCAATTAGATTTCAGAATTAAGATTTCATAATAGTGTGGCTGAATGAGATTCACTGCACCACTGGGCTGGCTGAATACAGAAAGCTTTGATTAATTTAACAGAAAGTTGGCTGAATATAGAAAACTTTGATTTAAAAGTAGTTGGCTGAACAAAGAAAGCTTTGGTTTGTACAAAGTACCAAGATCAAAAGAGAAAATGTAGGCTGCGATACTATGATTTGAGTGTTTTGTAGCCGGACAATGCAGATGTTTGTTTATCACATATCGTGATTGATCTCCGACTGCACTACTACGCAAATGATTACTGAGTAACCATAACCCATACCGTGACTAGTACTAAATACTCGGGAGTACGTCACAACTGAGGGCCTCGCCTACATAAAAGCATACCGTTCTGATAGCAATCACTCTACCAGCACTTGCAAGCAATCCATACTAAGCTGATTATTCAGCACATATACACATACCGTGGTTAATGGTAAGCACTCGTCGACTGTTCATCTGCATGTGCTCTCCAATGGGCAGTTGTGCGTGTTGTATGCCCTGTTCGGTGGCTCTCTCGTAGCACGCGTACTTGAGCCTGTTATGGTCTACCATGCCTCCGATGATGTACACCTTCGTTTCGTCTAAAGTCTCAATAACATTTGGCGAATCTGTGTCGTTTCCATGTAGATGAGGAAAGATGAGCTACACCACTAGCAACAAACTATAAGTGTACTTGCACATGAAAAGTTATTCATACAATTAAGCCGACCAAGCAGTCAAAGGTGTGCAGATTGCGATATAATTGACTTGTTTTAAGGTTGTCGCAGAATGCATATTAATGTTGGTGAAAATAATTAAGTAGTCGGAGCTTGTTTTAAGAATGAGCTTGTTTAAATATTCCCGCAGAATGCATATATAATGCTAGTGAAAAATAACTCAGTAGTCGGAGCTTGGTATAATTATTGACTTGGTTTAAGATTGTCGTCGAATGCACATATGATAGCTAGTGAAACAGAGGTCAGAAGTCGGTACTATCCCATTACGTAGTACTTTTTTTGCAGATATAGTATCTAATTCCAATTTATATTACAAGAAGTTCCAAAAGTCTACTCACGCAAGGCTATCTGAAGCAAATTAGCCCTCTAATTTTGCACAATTAATTTCGTGGACATTATTGAAACCTTGGATTTGGAATCGAAAATATTATATGAAAATAAGACAACAACATTTGGTACTCGCCTGCTGTTAAGTAGACGAGTTCTTCTTTCGGAAAAAGTTCTAGGTACGGCTCCGTCTTGAAATGTATCTGCTCGGCGCAAAGAGGGGTGTAGTATTAGTGATTTTCTTGATCTTGAATCAATGCGGCGATAACACGACTATTCCAAATTACGCAACAACAGGTGAGCCGTATATATTTTGACTATATATGCATATACACATAAGAAAGCATGTGCTGGAAACTGTATATTATGATTGAATTGTCAAACATTTTAAACAAGTTGAGACAAATATGCTTGTATGTATAGATTGAATCTATATGTATGCATTATATTTCATTCCATAGGTTCGAACTCGAATATACTCATGATACATTAGTATCAAATGTATATTTACACACATATGCACGAGTTCCCCACGGGGCTATATATATATATATATATATGTAAATACATTAATATGTCGTATCTAAACTGCGTGCGTACAAATTACACTAAACAAATCCAAAATCGAAATTCATATTTTGCTCAAAATGCGTATGGGCATCTCACCGAGTATGTACACAGTCACGAAAAAAATAGTACAATCCTATTCCAATACGTCTGAAAACGAATGGTCGTCTCGGAACCCAGATAATTCCTATATATATATATATATATACATACATATATATATATATACACACACACACATATATATA